CGCACGACGGAATCGTCCGCATGAAACAGGCGCTGCGGAATCTGGCGTGGTGGCCCGGCATCAACCGTGAGGTGGAGGAGCTGTGCCGAAGTTGCGAGCGCTGCCAGCACAGCGACGCAGTCCTCTCCCAGCGCGCACGCCCTGCGCCCATGCAGCCAGTCGACCTGCCGGACCGCGCCTGGTCGAAACTGGGAATGGATATCGTTGGTCCAATCAACGGAGCACCAGCGACTGCCCGTTACGCCATCACTCTGATTGACTACAGAAGCAAATGGGCGGAAGTCTGCCTGACGTCATCGACTGAGACTGAAGACGTCATCAAGTTCTTGTCAACTGTGTGGGCCAAAGAGGGCTATCCCGACGAGATCGTGACGGACAATGGGCCTCAGTTCACGAGCAGGGAGTTCACTGCGTATCTGGCCGCCCGAGGGGTGAAGCACACCAAATCGTCCGTCTACTGGCCTAGAGGCAACTCCGCCGTAGAGCGCTTCAACAAAACGTTCAAGTCGTGGATCACAGACTGTCCACCAGCAGCGTTCATTGACGAGGTACGCAAGAGCCTGGCGGTGTATCGAGCCACCCCACACACGACAACTGGGAAGTCACCGTCAGAGCTCCTGCATGGACGACAGATGAGGCTGAACCTGCCTGTCATTCAGCCGTCAACACCAGGAGCCGACAGTGTGGCGTCTCGAGTTCGACGCCGACAGCAGTCCAACAAGAGGTCCTACGACCGCCGCCGTGGCGTGACGACGCCGCGCATCACTGAGGGCGACTACGTCTGCGTGAGACGGCAGGGACACCGCTCGAAGACGTCCTGTCGGTTCACGTCTCCGGTGCGAGTCACTGGGCGCGTCGGTCCCGCAACGTACCGTCTGGCTGACGGCCGGACCTGGAACGCCGCCCATCTGGCCCGTCTCCCATACGCGCCGGCGTCTCCCTCCGCATCTCCCCCCGCTGGGCCCGGCGAGACCACGTCGACCGCCACGACTTCCGAGGCCGACGCCGCTGGCCCGCTGACCTCGCTCGCCGCTGCTTCTCGCCCGTCGACCGAGACAGCTTGCGAGCCGTCGCCGGACGCCGCCGATGTGAGCGTGCAGCGTCCCAGGCGAAGCGACCGTGTCTGTAGACGACCGGACTACTACGTGTCGCAGTGATGTTGTTCCTTTTTTTGCGAGAGGGGGGAATGTGTAGTGTATCGAGTACCTAGTGCATCGGGTGTCCGAGGCTCGGCATCGGGCCCCCGGTAATACGAGTGTGAGGCGGCCGCACCCTGCTCGGCTCCAGTCAGAGCCAGCAGTCGAGAGGCTCCGCCCGGCCGCACAGCACGGCAGTGCCTTAGTGTTCTGCACCGCGAGTTTGTGAGAATACATTCGGAATCCGGAGACGGCGGTGAACACTACAGTTAGGTCAAATATGAGAGAATTGCTCAGAAAGCGCGTTAATAGGGCTATCGAATGCACTTTTCCGCGGCGCTGTAGCTCTATTGGTTCCCGAGTTATGCGTTGGATTCATGGAAATTTTCGACATTCGACCTGGAAATCGGCGAAATTTTGCCTTAAATGACCTCTGGTGACCTCACCTTTGACCTGACCAAAAAATTGACCGAAGTGATTTCGTCATTATTTTTTACGCTCTTTCGAATGCCGCCTTCCGTGTATCGCTACGTTGCCCAGGAGTCGAGTTACAAGGGGGGGTGTTCAACCCCCCCCCCCCAGCAGGGCGTGGAAATCCAGGACTCCCAGCCGGGCGCGGGCTAAAGGTAGTGTGCCAGCTTTCCTGGACCGTATGGAGTTAATGGCCCAGATAAGGAGAACTGGATTTTTAGAACTTATCCATACCTTCAAAACTCATGGAAACGTCTTAAATTCTTCAAATTTTGAGTACCCCAGTGCGAAATTCGCCCCGACGGGTTGTCGGTCGTACCCCAACCACATTTCACACCACTATGAACAATAAATGCACACACTGAAATCGCTATTACCGATATGCTCATCCAATCAAGTTTGGATAAACCCGTTCATCATCATCTCCTGCGGTTTCGAACACGCCTGTTAGGTGGTGCGGTAGACCGCGCCCAAAGCCAGGGCCCCGGTAACGTGAGGTAGCCGAGTCGGGGCAGCGTGCGCTGACCCAAGCCGGGGCCGCGCGTCCTCCCGGTGTCATGTGATAGCCCGGGGCTGCCCGCGGGGATGCGGTAGACCGCGCCCAAAGCTGCGGCCCCGGCTTGGGTCAGCGCACGCTGCCCCGACTCGACTACCTCACGTTACCGGGGCCCTGGCTTTGGGCGCGGCTTCTGCTCATACTTTGTGGTGCGGTGGTGGTGCGTCGGGCCGCGCGCTCTGACTTCGGCCAAGATAAATGCGTCAGCTGATCATTGTCATTTCTGCCACTTGCGTGTGGTGAAATGGGGTCATAACTTAAGAGACGGCTTTTTCATATCATTTATTTTACATAAAATCATATTTCAAACCATAAATAATGTTCGACAGCCAAATAAAAAAACCATACCAATACAGGCTTACAGTTTAAGGCTCGACATTTGTGTTGTCTACGATTAGACAGCTGATAACTCATTGCCGTACGTCGTAACTCTATAATGACCTTTGCTTATTGTCACATATTGTCACATTCGCGATTGTTGCCGACGCCTGTTTGCAGGTCAGCCCACTACAGTTGTTATACATATCGAAAAACCGATAAACTTTTAGGCGAAAAAGGCACTATTCCAGGCCCATTTTTGATTTTTTTGCGATATCAGGTAAAAACAGAAGCTTCTTATCCTAGGAAAAATAAAATGGGAAATCTTTCAAAGGTGGCACACTACCTTTAATGTGGGAGGGCCCCTTTAACCCGGCACCGCCTGGGCTATTTCCGTACCCACGACAGCCTGGGGGGGGGTCGGATCCGCCCCCCCCCCTGTTATCTCGAGAACCAATGGTCGTATCGAGCCCCGCGAGGCGGCGTTCGAAAGGTCTCTACGAGACCTTCCCAAAGCACTCTTAAGATTTTAAGATTGAGGTCAACTTTCGGGTCAAGGTCAGGTCAAAGGTCAAATTCTGTGGTTTTGCATGATTAGGCTTACGGACAGCGGAATCGACAGCTGCTGCTCGAAACTCACCAAAAATGACCTCAAAGGCCTAGTGAAGGTACCATGTGCGTATAGGGGTCATACTAAGTACGGGTCAAGGTCAGGTCAGGTCACGAAAGGTCACGGTTTTCACTTTCTGCTACATGGGTGTGCGACACATGTTTTATGGCTTATTTTTCACGCCGAATCCGATGGTAATGGTTATATGTGACCCCAAGTCACTGTGCTTGGTGATACGTGTGCATTGAAAGCATAAAAAATCGTTTATACCATACATAACTAAGAGAGGGCTAAGAAAAAAGGTCAATTTTTCAACTTTTATTTTTGACATCAAAATACACTTTTCTAGACGAGCTTTGTCCCAGGAATCTAGTGGTGCCATTTGTTTTCACATGCGATGTTCAGAAGTGCCTCTAATTCACGAAAATGCTTATGACGTCACCATGCCCTATGCATGTTGGAGCTATTTTTTACAATTTGGGGGTCAAAAATCAAGATAGAAAGTTGAAATTTGGGACATCTAATGTTCTAATAGAGCTCTATAACATATATTCCGTTTTTTTGAAATTCTCAAAATTTTGGATTTTTTGAGCTGTTTTTCAAAAAATATAGTTTTTTGAATTTTTAGGGGTGAAAAACGCATTTTATGGAAAATCCGAGATAGCCATTTTAAAGAACTCGTTGAGCTGCATCTATTCATGTCCTTAATTTGCAATTTGCTTTAAACCCTGATTTTTGGCGATTTTTTAAACATTTACCACTTTTTGACTGAAAACGGCTTGTAGTTACATCACTAAAATCGATATATCTAAAAAAAAATTGGAAATTTTTTCTTCAAAATTGCACAGGAGACGTCAAATTGATGGGGGAGAAGGTATGCCAAGTTTCAAGTCGATAGCGTAAGCGGTTCATAAGTTATTCAAGAAAAACGGAGGGGGGGTCGGATCCGACCCCCCCCCCCCAGGCGGTCGCGGGTTAAAATATACGAGTACATAGGAGCATGTTACCAAATGCCGTAAACAGGAGAGAATGATAGCTCGTTCTTAAGAATGGCCCGTGGAGACTGGAGTGTCTCAGTTTGCAGCCGGCTCGCGCCATCTGGCAGCTGACTCTGGCTGCCGGCCAGGGTCGCGATTTGAGAGCATGTCGCCGCGGGGCGCCGCCCATCGTTCCTACGTCCAGGTGGCCCGTCCCTTGGCTCCTTCGTTCAGGGCTACCCCGGCCCGTCCCTTGGCTCCTGTGCGTGTAGCTCTGGCTCTTGCACTGGCTCTAGTTCCGGCTCGTTTGGCTGCGGCACCTCTGCAGAGCTCGTGGCGAGGTGTCTCAGTGGACACATGCTGACGGGCGCTTCTCAGCACGGGAGGGGAGAGGGGCTCCTGAGTCCTGCCACCTGGGGGGAGCGGGCTGAGGAGGGCGGGATGAAGGGCAGCTCGGCGTCTTGATTGTTTACTAGCTCGGCTGTTTCCCTGCCGGCCTGCTACCAACACTTGTTGCTTGTAACTAAGGGGCAGGGGCTCCAGGGTACATGAATGTATGGCGGCCTCTGATAGCCGTGTGACCTGCTCCGTGTAAGTTTTATGGGTTATATGTACGTACCTACTATAGGTACCTATATTTTGTCCCGCAATTTGATCCGGGTTAGGTACCCCTTTGCAGCCGTCACATGCTCCTCGTCATTTTCTGCAATCAACACAAATACGCTGTCCGGGCACCCTCCCTCCTCACGACAGCACCCCTCCCCTCCCCTCTGCTCTGCACTCCCGTTCCTATGGACATGACAGGCCGTTCGTTTTCATGTCCCATTCGTCACGCCTGCAGAACCGCAGACAGCCTTGAAGGCGACGGCAGCGCCGCGGCGCGGCTGGGCGCCGAACTAGCCACGCCTCCGCGGCGGCAGACAGCGCTCCTCGACTGCACGTCTCCAGTGATTGATCCGCGGCTACTGGGTTCAGACGGCGGAGTGCTGGGGTGAGGACGGTGCAGAGCAGGCAGTGCGGCGGGGTGAGGACGGTGCAGAGCAGGCAGTGCGGCGGTCAGCAGTGCCGGACGACGTCCCGGGCGGACCGGAAATATCCGGAGATATCCGTTCTGAGTGGAGATAGAGCCCCTGCGGCCGTGTGTGGCCGGTCGGGAGGAAGGCCGTGTGTGGCCGGGTGGGAGGCCGCGGTTCCGGCCGTGTGTGGCCGGTCGGGAGGAAGGCCGTGTGTGGCCGGGCGGGAGGAAGGCCGCCGTTCCGGCCGTCGGAACCGCCCGGAATTCAGTGTGTGTTGGGAGCTGTCCCTGGTCTTGACGGTCGAGTCACCTCTGGTCTCGGCGGGAGCTGCCTGTCTTTGTGCTCCACGGTAACTCGGACTTGGCACGCCCAGAGCGATTCAGGCCTCGCTGCGCCGGGCGGGGGTCAGCGACCGACAGGAACTCACTCGGAGCTCACTGACCTGAGGAACTCACTCAGTGCTCGGAGGGAACTCACTCGGAGCTCACTCACCTGAGGAACTCACTCGGTGCTCGGAGGGAAGTCACACTCGGAGCTCACCACTCACCAGGAACTCAAACTCGAGAAAACAGCGCAATCTGAGGTGGGTGAGCCTGGTGGGCGGGGCCGCGCCGTGCGAAAATGATGCTAAAGATGGAAATAAAGTCCTTTTCTTTCGTGTTGGTAGAGCTTGTTTTAATAGACATCTAAATACAAAATTGAATGAAGGAAACAAATCCATATATATACAGTCAAATGTCAACATCTGCTCTGAACAAATGAATCGATGCGAAGATCGATATATGTAGGTATCTTGCACGGTTGCACCGTTTTCGCGGAAGCAGAACGCACATCCGAAGCATTGCATTCATTGCTAATGTTCTAGGAGGACGGACTGTGGAATGCCCGACGTCACTATCTACGTCATCACCTACGTCATAGGGGATCCCCCGGTTAAAGGGACTATCCCACCTTCTAAAATGTTGTTAAAACCAGTTAAATTGTGCCCGACTTTATAGATTGGATGACCAGGAACACGGTTCTGGCATTTATTTTTCATTAAAGGTAGTGTGCCAGCTTTCTTGGACCGTATGGAGTTAATGGCCCAGATAAGGAGAACCGGATTTTTAGAACTTATCCATACCTTCAAAACTCATGGAAACGTCTTAAATTCTTCAAATTTTGAGTACCCCAGTGCGAAATTCGCCCCGACGGGTTGTCGGTCGTACCCCAACCACATTTCACACCACTATGAACAATAAATGCACACACTGAAATCGCTATTACCGATATGCTCATCCAATCAAGTTTCGATAAACCCGTTCATCATCATCTCCTGCGGTTTCGAACACGCCTGTTAGGTGGCTTCTGATGCTCGTCGAGGTCGGAATTTCCAAATACGCGTGGTGCGTCGGGCCGCGCGCTCTGACTTCGGCCAAGAAAAATGCGTCAGCTGATCATTGTCATTTCTGCCACTTGCGTGTGGTGAAATGGGGTCATAACTTATAAGACGGCTTTTTCATATCAATTATTTTACATAAAATCATATTTCAAACCATAAATAATGTTCGACAGCCAAATAAAAGAATCAATACCAATACGGGCTTACAGTTTAAGGCTCGACATTGTGTTGTCTACGATTAGACAGCTGATAACTCATTCCCGTACGTCGTATGGTCGTAACACTATAATGACCTTTGCTTATTGTCACAAGTGCGCCGCATTCGCGATTGTTGCCCGACGCCTGTTTGCAGGTGAGCCCACTACAGTTGTTATACATATCTAAAAACCGAAAAACTTTTAGGCGAAAAAGGCACTATTCCAGGCCCATTTTTGATTTTTTTTTTGCGATATTAGGTAAAAACAGAAGCTTCTTATCCTAGGAAAAATAAAATGGGAAATCTTTCAAAGGTGGCACACTACCTTTAAACATCTTAGGCTTCCCATATTCCAAACACAAACTTTCAAATATGTGACGTCACAGCCCAAAATTACCTCCTTCCCCAGGCCACATTACTGTCATAAAGCTGATTCTTTTTACTCTGTAGGCACCACAACAAAGTTCAGACCAAGTTTTAAGCGATTTTTCAACGAACAAACCCATTTAAATCAGAATGACTAAACGAGGTGACGTCACACTAACGGTCGCTCCATGTTGAAGATAGGGCCTTGTACAAGGCCCATTTTCAAATGAAAGGAACGAATTTCTTAAACCCCAAGAGGCCGCGGGGGTTGCAACCTAGATAGATAGTGGTTTCTGAACCTCGCCGCAAACTTGGCTATCTCAACTCATACCCCATGTTAAAGGTGGGATAGTCCCTTTAATGGCATGCATTTTACTCGATTTTAAAACTATTTCTTGAAATGCCTGTAAACGGTGAAAATTCGACATTTGACCTGACCTGTGACGTCATCGGTTTGACTGAAGTCAATGAAATTGAGCCAAAAGGTATTTCCTCGTTGGGGCCATCCAACACAGTTTGCTGCTTGTCGCTATTTTGCGTGGTTCTCGAGATCTTTTGGGGGGGGGGGGGCAAATCCCCCCATGGGACCGATGCTTGGCAGACCTTAACGGGGCGCAGGTTAAATGAAAGAACTGTTCCCAAGAAATAAGACTACAGTCGTCTCCCGGCCTCAATGGTAAGCGGCTAAAACTTTGAACGACTACCTATGAATCGGCACGCTGCCGGCTCACTCCGCCCGCCGCTGGCTACGGGTGGCCTTGACCGTTCAATGCCGATTGGCCAACGGCCGAGGTCGTGCGCTGGTCAGCACGGGATAGGGAAGGGACACTTGCCAGCAGCTCCGGATAGACGACTGTTTAGTGTTAACTATTTGTTGGATCCGGCTGATGTCCTTTCAGATCATGTTTAGGTCAGGTCAAAGATGACGTCACAGGGTAAAAAAGTCAAAATGGTGGCGCTAGATATGATAAGTTTTTCTCGAAAAACTTTCGCGAAGAAGCCGAGCTAGGAACAAACTAATGGCAAAATCGTGATCCTCTCGTTAATCTGCATCGAATCATATACATATATGTGTTGACCTCGAAAGGTCAAGCTGAAAGGTTGACCTCAGGTCACGTGACTTCAAGGTCAACATGTATATCATTCGATGCGCCTTGACGAGCTAAACACGATGAGACCATCCGCGCGGTTGCATCTTGTTCCTGTTAGGAGTTATTAGCAAAAAAAAAAAACTTTTGGTAACCCTTGATGACGTCACATGACCTTACAGTTGCCCAAGAGCAAAAAAGGCCTTAAGGTAGTCAAGATTGATCGCATTTAAGGTCATTTATGATATATTGGGGCGGGCCATTCCGATGCGGTTTAGTGGAAAAACAGGGAGTTGATTTTTCCCCCATTGACATATAATGGAGAGGTCAAGAAATTGACCTGAGGCCAGTTTAACCAACAGAAAAATAGCCTTCTGCCGGAATTTTTCGCCAAAAGGCCGCTTCACATGCGGATCGAGAGCGGTAAAGCCCAATCCGCTTACGTGCTTATCGCGTTTACGTGTTTATCACATATCGCGTTATCGCGTATGTGAAACGGTCTTTAGACAAAATTCCGGCAGGCGGCTATTTTTCTGTTGTTAAAACTGGCCTCTGACCTTAGGTCATCAATATCAAAATTCCGAGATAAACAAATTGTAACTACCTACTAATGACCTCGTTAAATCCTGCGACTTCCAAAGGCCTTCGTCATCTACCTACTGTAGCTCTGACAAGGTGACAAAGTTGCAAAAAATGATTTGTCAAATTCCGCAGCGCTACGCGCCTCGTTTTTGCGCTATTCACGAAAAACCTCAGTGGGAAGGGGGGAGCGGTCAACCGCTCCCCGTCGGTGCGTGGTTAAACATACCTACCTGTCAGTTGAACGATCTGCTGTGGACGCGGGTGCCCGCGGTATTTACGTCCGTCGCTTCCGCTAAATCATTTATGGTATATAGCGCGTCACTTCCGGAGTGGGCTCGGCTCCACGTTCACCATATGTGACACAGCGGCCACAAATGTGACGCATGTGACGTCACATAACGTCATGTGACGTTTCAGTTTGATAAATTACTCGCGACAGAGAAACCAGGGGCGGTCGCAGACTTGGCGTTTGGGGGGGGGGGGCAACTTGGCAAAGGGGCCCCTGCACTGACCCGGGGGGCCCGGTGCTAGCTTAAAGGGGCCCACGGGCGTAGTGCATGAGTGCAGAAATCTAGCCATGACCGGTGAAGCGGGGGTGGGGGGGGGGGGGATAGGGAGCGGCAGCCGAGCGGAGGCTCATTGCCAGCTTTGAGAGTGTACTATGTCGAAAAGGTAAGTTCATTTGGAAGCATTGGTAATGTCAATAAATCACGCAACTGTGAATTGACTACCGCAAAAAATAAAACCGGCTAACTTAGCCATTTTGAAGATATCGTGCTAAAACTTTTGACAGTGGGTCATCGGTACGTGTTCAATCACATGTGATCCGTTTCTTATTTTTCACTTGAGCACACATGTAAATTTTGAAGACCATCACAGTAGCAAATGCATCGAAAGATGGATAGTAGTGGGCAAAATATCCTGAATTTGTCGTGCTGCATCGAAAGTAGTGTTGATGAGAAAATGGGTTTTATTCCAGATTATTGTGGGTAGAGAATAGGTACATTGTCTGCACCCACTGGATAATTATTGTTGGTGCAACTTCACCCACTTCACCCGTGGCTCCTACACTAATAGGCCCATGGATAACGCTTCGGCGATACCTATCGCATAGAGGCTGCAATGTGGCCCTTAGAGTACAGTGTCAGACCCCCAGAGGCCGGCGTTGGACCCAAGGGTCAGCGAAGGGCCTCAAAGGCCCCAGATGGGACCCCAGAGGCTGATGTGGGCCCTCAGAGGCAAATGCGTGACGCCCAAAGGTAAGTCTTGAGCCCCCATAGAACATAATACGGCCATCAGTGGCCGGTGTAGAGACCTCATAGGCCAGTTGGGGGCATATAGAGGCCAGTTTAGGACCCTCAGAGACCAGTACAGGGCCTGCAAAGGGCAGTTTGAGACCATCAGAGACCGACGTGGGCACTCAGATGCTAATGTGGGTCCTTACAGGACAGCATGGGGCCCTCAGAGGTTAGCGTGGCCGCCGTGGGGCCCTTAACCCGCGCCCTGCTGGGGGTCCTGGATTTCCACGCCCTGCTGGGGGGGGGGGGGTGTTTGAACACCCCCCCTTGTAACTCGGCTCCTGGGCCACGTAGCGATACGCGGAAGGCGGCGTTCGAAAGAGCGTAAAAAATAATGACGAAATCACTTCGGTCAATTTTTTGGTCAGGTCAAAGGTCAGGTCACCAGAGGTCATTGAAGGCAAAATTTCGCCGATTTCCAGGTCGAATGTCGAAAATCTCCAAGAAGCCAACGCATAACTCGGGAACCAATAGAGCTACAGCGCCGCGGAAAAGCGCATTCGATAGCCCTATTAACGCCCTTTCTGACTAATTCTCTCAGATTTGACCTAACGTCAACGGTTTTGTCTGCAGGAGGCAAAAACTGCAAAAATAGCCGATTTTTTCGAAAACAGTTTTTCTGCAATAACTTCTGACCCAAGCCTTGTACGAGCTTACTTTTACCGGCATCGTATTCCTCTCGTCAAGACGCATCGAATGAACTATGACTTGACCTTGAAAGGTCAACTTGAAAATTTGACCTCAGGTCAAGGTCATGACCTGACCGGAAAGGGTCATGTTGCATATCAGTCGATCCGTATCGTCGAGCTGAACACATCTAAGGCGTTTTCATCGCTCTAGCATGCCTCTATCAGAAGTTATTTGCGAAAAACTGTTAGATACCATTCGTGACCTAAGATGACCTCAGGGCATAAAAAAGGGCCACGGACATCATTTTCAAGTTCAGTGTGTCTATGCCACTTGTAATTCGGTGTTTGGGAGTGTTTATAATGTCTTTCATCCACAAGAGGCGCATTTCAATTTTATCCCATTGACTTATAATGGGGAGGTCGCAAAATTGACCTGACCTTAGGTCATCGATATCAAAATTCTGAGATATAAATTTTGTACATGCTATTGCTCTTAGCAATCGCTGAAAGTTTCAAAGCGATCGGTCACTCGGTGTAGCTATGACAGACATTGAAAGTTTTTATGAGGTGAGGTCACTTCAAGTGACCTGGTGACCTGACCTTGAATGACCTTGGTCTGAAATTTTTCACAACATGTGTAGAATTGATGTATGATAAGGTGTACCAAAAACGGCGGCGCTCCGCGCCGCCGTTTTTGAGATATTCGCGAAAAACCACAGGGGGGGTGTTCAAACACCCCCCCAGCAGGGCGCGGGTTAAAGACCGGCATGGGTCGGCGTTGGACCCCAGAGGCCAGCCTCAAAGGCCAAAGATGGGCCCTCAAAGGTGATGCGGGCCCTAAGAGGCCGGCATCGGGTGTTCAGAATCCAGTGCGGGGCCCTCAGAGGCTAATGTGCGCCCTCACAGCCCAGCATGGGGCCCTCAGAGGTCAGAATGGGGCCCAGAAAGACTGGCATGGGCCGGCGTTGGACCCCAGAGGCCAGCAGAGGGCCCTCAAAGGCCAAGATGGGCCCTCAGAGGCCGATGCGGGCCCTTAGAGGCCGGTATCAGGTCTTCAGAATTCAGTGCGGGGCCCATAGAGGCTAATGTATGTCCTTACAGGCCAGCATGGGGCCCTCAGAGGTCAGTGTGGGGCCCTAAAAGACCGGCATGGGCCGGCGTTGGAACCCAGAGGCCAGCGGAGGGCCCTCAAAGGCCAAGATGGGCCCTCAGAGGCCGATGCGGGCCCTTGGAGGCTGGCATTGGGTCTTCAGAATCCAGTGCGGGGGGCCTCAGAGGCTAATGTGGGCTGGCGTGGGTTTCTCGAGCCCCGTGACAATCGAATACGGGCCAGGGCCCCATACGCCCATGGGGGCCCATCGGTTGTTTGGGGGGGGGGGCAAATGATATGATGGCCCCCCTGATTTGCCTTGGGGGGGGCATGGCCCTGATGGCCCCCCCCCCTGCGACCGCCACTGAGAGAAACATCAGCGATCTATAAGCAACTGTGCTATTGACAGGTACTAGTTAGAGCTCAGCGACGTATGGCTAGCTCTAGCATGTCATCGAGTATGACGACATGTGTGTGTTTGACGCCATCTCTCCGGAAGCCTCGGTAGCCGCTAGTGCTGGATAACAGAGCGCAGTTGTATGTCTCGCTGAGCCGCAGTAGCCTCTGCCACCGTGCTGAGCGGGCGGGCGCAGCGCCGCAGTAGCCTCTACCCAGTACCCGGCCACTGGGCGTTTCTCACTGTCATGCCTTCCGGGGAGCAGGTGCCCGTCAGCCACTAAAACCAAATACATATATCTGTGTGTATTGAAGACGAATGGGCATACGAGGGGCCTCGCGAAACGACATAAATGATTTAAGGGGATAAATCTTGAGCGCGAGTCCAAACTGTCTCAGCTCTGTTCATGTGGTATGGACAGAAAATTATCCTCTAAATAGTTCAGCGGGTGATTATTTCATCTCATCTCCACTCCCACGCCCATGATCAATTTTTTTTTCTTTCCTCCTTCCCCCAAAGGCGCTCTTTGGCAAGGACCGTAATGATTTGCATTGAAACTGGGTTGCAAAAGAATCTGTCATTGACAATTGACATGTAATATTTCTATGCAGAAACGCGGTTCTACTGTGTACTCGCGCGGCGGCCATCTCACTCTCTTTCCACACGTTTCTAGCCCGTTAGCCGTGCCCCTGTTCTGTTACAGGATGGCTGACCCTCACCGCCCGACCGCTGTTCTAATGTCCCCTGTTCTGTTCCAGGACGACCGGGCGTCTGTTCTAATGTCCCCTGTTCTATTCCAGGACGACCGGGCGTCTGTTCTAATGTCCCCTGTTCTGTTCCAGGACGACCGGGCGTCTGTTCTAATGTCCCCTGTTCTGTTCCAGGACGACCGGGCGTCTGTTCTAATGTCCCATGTTCTGTTCCAGGACGACCGGGCGTCTGTTCTAATGTCCCCTGTTCTGTTCCAGGACGACCGGGCAGCCGTTTCTGATATCGCCTGTTCCCTGTTACAGATGGGTGACTGGGCGGCGGTGTCTGATGTCCCCTGTTCTGTTCCAGGACGACCGGGCAGCCGTTTCTAATGTCCCCTGTTCCCTGTTACAGATGGGTGACTGGGCGGCGGTGTCTGATGTCCCCTGTTCTGTTCCAGGACGACCGGGCAGCCGTTTCTGATGTCCCCTGTTCCCTGTTACAGATGGGTGACTGGGCGGCGGTGTCTGATGTCCCCTGTTCCTTGTTACAGATGGGTGACCCGGCGGCGGTGTCTGATGTCCCCTGTTCCCTGTTACAGATGGGTGACCCGGCGGTGGTGTCTGATGTCCCCTGTTCCCTGTTACAGATGGGTTCCCGGCGTCGGTTTCTGATGTCCCCTGTTCCCTGCTACAGATGGGTGACCTGGAGGTGGTTTCTGATGTCCCCTGTTCCCTTGTTACAGATGAGTAACCTATCGGCGGTTTCTGATGTCCCCTGTTCCCTGTTACAGATGGGTGACCCGGCGGCGGTGTCTGATGTCCCCTGTTCCCTGTTACAGATGGGTGACTGGGCGGCGGTATCTGATGTCCCCTGTTCCCTGTTACGGATGGGTGATGCGGCGGCGGGGTCTGATGTCCCCTGTTCCCTGTTACAGATGGGTGACCCGGCGGCGGTTGCTGATGTCCCCTGTTCCCTGTTACAGATGGGTGACTGGGCGGCGGTATCTGATGTCCCCTGTTCCCTGTTACAGATGGGTGACTGGGCGGCGGTGTCTGATGTCCCCTGTTCCCTGTTACAGATGGGTGACCCGGTGACGGACCAGCCGGCCGCCCGGACGGACCCGAAGTCCGACCCCCAGCAGCCGGCGGACGGCGAGAAGCGGGATAGCTCCGAGCGATCCGACGCTGCCGAGAGCACGTGTCTCTGTGTGGAGGCCTGCTGCGAGTGCTGCTCGTTCTGCATGTGCTTCTGCGAGCTCTGGGAGCTGCTCACCTGCTGCCTGGAGTGCTGCAACAACTGAGAGCCGGTGCTGCAACAACTGAGAGCCGGTGCTGCAGCATCTGACAATGCAAGACATTTTGAGCGGGGGCAGTGCCCGGATCCACCATTTGAGCGGGTTATGCTAGATCTGGGGGACCTTTTAAGGGGTTTATACCAGATCTAGGGGGATATTTTTAACGGGTTATACCAGATATGAGGGAACATTTATAACGGGTTATACCAGATATGAGGGACTATTTTGAACACATCAGATCTGGGGACATTTTGAGGGGAACTATCAGATTTATGGGGATATTTTGAACGGATTTTTACCAGATCTGAGGGGGCATTTTCACCGTCGGACCCATGTTGCCGCCAATCACTATAGATAGAGCCTGTTGAGTGCAATTGTTGAGGCTTGTACTAAATAGTGTAGTTCTTGGCTAAGGCTTCAAATGTCGGAACCAATTGTGGCCGGATATTTCTTTGGGTGTTGATGAATTCAGGGTTCGTTGTCACCAGCGCAGCTTTTTACGTTTTATCACGCACGAAGCCAATGAATTTCCTTATCCACAACACCAAGGAGTAGGCATTCCGAACCGCTGAAGCAGATTTTACAGTATTTCTGTCCGCCCCACACCCTGATAACGTGACGGCAGGGTAGGGTGTCCGCGCCCTCTTAAAGGGACTATCCCACCTTCTAAAATGGTGTTAAAACCAGTTTAATTGTGCCCGACTTTATAGATTGGATGACCAGGAACACGGTTCTGGCATTTATTTTTCATTAAACATCTTAGGCTTCCCATATTCCAAACACAAACTTTCAAATATGTGACGTCACAGCCCAAAATTACCTCCTTCCCCAGGCCACATTACTGTCATAAAGCTGATTCTTTTTACTCTGTAGGCACCACAACAAAGTTCGGACCAAGTTTTAAGCGATTTTTCAACGAACAAACCCATTTAAATCAGAATGACTAAACGAGGTGACGTCACACTAACGGTCGCTCCATGTTGAAGATAGGGCCTTGTACAAGGCCCATTTTCAAATGAAGGGAACGAATTTCTTCAACACCAAGAGGCCGCAGGGGTTGCAACCTAGATAGATAGTGGTTTCTGAACCTCGCCGCAAACTTGGCTATCTCAACTCAAACCCCATGTTAAAGGTGGGATAGTCCCTTTAATGTGGCGGCGGGGCGGGGTGTCCGTGGCGGCGGGGCGGGGAATCCGCGTCCAGTGCTGGTGTTTCCGCTTCCTGTATTACGGGTATACGCTGATGGTGCGTGGTCACTGGAGACCCCCCGGGGAGTGTGCCACCTGTGGAACATGGCAGGCCTGTTTGGTGAGCGAGTCTGAGCTTACTGGCAACTTGTCATAATTTTACCGGCGACTCTCCGTGTCTTATATGACACCATGCTATATGATTCGATGGTTGACTATGCTACGATGCCAGGTTTGGTATTCGCTCAAGTGTTGAGCCCGTATGCTGCATTAGTGTCCACATGTCTTATGTACCTAATAATGCTCCCAGTTTTCGTATCTGGCCACGACTGACACCACGGATGGCTGAGGAATGCCTCGCTTCTCAGTGGCTGACGATGGTGTCCAGGCCGGCATCTGCTGTAGGAACTCCGAGGTCAGAGACGTGCTGCCATTTTCCGGGGAGGTGTGCGCGCCCTGTTTGAAGGTGCTGCCATTGTCCGGGTAGGTGCGCGCCCTGTTTGAAGGTGCTGCCATTGTCCGGGTAGGTGCGCCCTGTTTGAAGATGCTGCCATTGTCCGGGTAGGTGCGTGCCCTGTATGAAGATGCTGCCGTTGTCCGGGTAGGTGCGCGCGCCCTGTTTTAGCCGTGCGACTGGCTAGCTGCTGACGTCAGAGCCGGTCTCAGGTCACGGAGTGGTCACCTTTACGTCACGGCCAGGTGCGGCACACACCCAGTTACGTCTCGGAGACCGGGTACAGTCGGTGCGGCGATCCCGGCACCGTGCTGTGGTGTTACTATTCCGAGCCTGATGCTGATGTCCACATAAACCCGTGCGACAATGGTGCGATGGCGGTGGCATGCAGTGACGCGCTGATGGCGGTGGCATGCGGTGTGGTGCTGTTTGGGCTCGGTGTGTCGACTCAGTCAGCTGACCGGACTGTATGCCTTATTAGGCTGACTGTTTTATACAACGACCCCTTTTTAGTATAAGCAGATTGATATTGTACGAGCTTCCCAGGGTTTTGCCAAATGCACGAAAATACATTTTGTACTGATTGGTCCGTTTTTTTTGCGATGCACTTTGCAGAATCATAAGGCGTCTGGAACATTGGAATTTAGACGACATTTGAGTTTGTCGATTCCAGACTTCCCGAACGGAACGAGCGGTCCAGGTATCCTCTTCCCCATCTGCTGTGGAACGCAGCCTGGACAAAATCAAGCACCTCTTCCTAGAAAATGGATAGGGGTCCTGAGCACGTCATTGACCGAACTTCTAAAAAAAAAAAAACGAAAGACACAGCATGATAGGAAAAAAACCGCTCCATCAAGGCAGATTGATTTCGCCCCGCCTCCGTATGTATGCTCGGCAGTGACAAGCTGTCGGCATCTCGAGTGTCGTGCCGATGCAGCCGGCTCGCTGGGGGACCAATGGTTCCAGCAAGCGCCGCTGGCACACGGTGTGTCACAAGTCGATGTACGGACATAATCCTGTGGTACTGAATAAGCTGCTCAGCAGTGAGCCATCTGACATGACAGATGACGCCAGCAACGCGCTGATGTTTGCGGCGCCCGCTCAGCACTCGCGCGACAAAGTTTACCAGCTTTTGTAGCCGACGCTTCTCCGTCTGACCACATACGCCGAACACCGACAGACAGTACCGCATCGCTGACATTATCAACGCGTCGATCAGATACTTGATCGTGTCGCGAGGCAGGACATGTTTTGCATTGTTTAACCCTCGCGGGCCCGGGGGGGGGGGGGGCGTTTTTCGCCCCCCTGGCGAATATTTGCGATAGCTCCCGAACGCTTAGGGATAGGAAAGCGAAACTTTCAGTACCTTTTCTCCCATCAATTTAACATCTTCTGAAGTAAAAAATTTGGACCTAGCCCCCTTGATGACGTCACAAGGTCCATTTTTCTAGACCCCTGCACGGCAAACTTCGGCGTCAGAGACGCAAACTTCAAATAGCTGCTAAAAATAGTTTTAGAGATAAAGACAAATTACGAGCACGGTTGTGTAGCGTTTGACCTAGAGAAAAATAGAAAAATAGTTTTGGTGACCTGAGGTCAGAGGTCAGGTCAACGACCCCGAAATGTGGTTTTAGTTTTTCGCAAATAACTTCGACAAAAATGGTCCTAGAGCTACGGCAGTGGTACCATCGCATTCGCCTTGTCAAGCCGCGTCGAATGATATATATTTTGTTCGGAAAAGGTCAAATTTTATGTTGACCTCTTGTGACCTCGAATGACCTCTGGTTGACCTTGACACATAAAAGGTCGTTTATGATGGATTTGTATCCGCTGATCACGAATCTGGCATCTATTTTCCTCTCAGCCTTCATTTAGAGCTTCCGGATGGCAAAATTGTCTTATTTATTATAACTAACTTGAATTAGTGAAATAGCCTCTAGCAGGGATACTCTTCTGTAACCTTGACCTTTGAGCAGCCTTGTATCGTAAGATGAACCACAAATAGGGAACTGATAAGCCTCAAAACATTTCAAAACATCTTGGAAGTTAGCACGCAAGATGTGCGAAAAAAGTGCCAAGTTTGAGGTCAATTTTGAGCGTGACCTTGACCTTGACCTTTAATTTTGAGCACAGTTTCGGAATCCTCAGATTCTCTTCTTTCGTTTGACACCCAATTTTGCCGGTTTGATGCAGCCTGCCGTCCTCTAGAAGGCTTACTTTGAGATCACTACACATGTGCCGGTTTTTGCTATTGACCTTGACCTCTGACCTTGAAAATTGACCTGAGGTCAAAAATTTTAGGTGCTTTAGAATCGTCTCGTAAGGACCTTTCGTTTGGTATCGCTTTTGTTTCCGTAGCTCCCTTATTTACGGAGTTAGACAGGGGGGGCGAAAAACGCCCCCCCGGGCTGCGGTGGTTGGGATTACCCCCCGGGCCCGGCCGGGTTAAGGCGAGCAGCATTCCTGCGCATTTTTGAACGATCAGGCTGACGTGAGACTGAAAAGACAAGTTTCGATAAAAAATAACGCCTAGATTTCGTACCTCTTTGGTAGCACGAATGGTCGATGCACATTTCACAGACACGTCAGGAGTAAGAGCAAGTAATTGTCTACTCTCAAATACCATAAACTCAGTTTTTGCAGCGTTCACTTTCATTCCATTGTGACAGCAGGGGCGGCGGATTCGGGGGGGGGGGGGGGGCAGGGGGGCAGCTGCCCCCCCTGGCAAAATCGTGGGGGGCAAAAGTATCTTTTTGCCCCCCACTCTTTTTGCCTTTTTGCCCAAAAGTATCTTTTTGCCCCCCATAATTTGTGACAAAGCTTAGAAAAGCAACCATATACCTGATTATTCTGTTCGATCATCTGAAGATGTAACCAGATGCCCATATACTTTATCATACGTTGCCTTTCTTAAATGGCCAGCGTTCGCGTTCAATTGAAGTTTTCCTCTCTTTAACCTAGTTTTGGAGGCATTATAAGCGTCAACGTGACGCAGCGGCAACCCAGGCCTTCAGTGACCGCTTACAGGGGTGGCGGAGGAGGCATCGTCCCCTAAGAAACTTTTGGAGGAGCGGCAAACGTATATTCTTGCCCCTCCATAATTTGTGCCCTAAACATGAGGAAAATTACCATAACCTGATGTTGCAGCTATGCGCTCCTACAGTTTGTCCAACGGTGCCTTTTGAATATGTGTAAATGCTAACCATTTTCGCTTTATATATTTTTTTTTTGTCTTTTTAGATTCGATTTAGAGATATTTTAAATGTGCAAGAGACGCTACTCATACCTTCAGTGGTCGTTTGCCGCTACCCAGTAAACATGCCGACGTCGGCCCGACGTCGGCCGACGTCGGGGTGACGTCGGCAACTCGGCATCGGCATGCCGACGTCGGCCCGACGTCGGTCCAACCTCGGCACGACGTCGGCTGGATGTCGGATATGCCCGCATGTTCCGACGTCCAGCCGAGGTCCAGCCGACGTCGGGCCGACGTCGGACCGAGATCAATTGCTGAGGTCCAGCCGACGTCGGGCCGACGTCGGGGCGACGTCGGGCCGACGTCGGGGCGACGTCGGACCGACATCGGCCGCTGTTTTGACCGTTAAAATAATATAAAATACATGTTTCATGTTTCATAAAGAGCTTCTGTATTCAAAATATCCTCAGGAAACTCAAATCTTCCTCCACGCCGCAACCCCCTGATCCGGACTGGACGGGAAGCTTTATCCCATTTGGGATTGCCCGTAAGCCGAGCTCGCCCGTAGCCGGGTGCGGTGAGTGCTTGGGGGCTGCTCGGCCTATCCTTTGGTCAGGCTCAGCCCCGGCAACTCACCAGGGCCGGGCCCAGTTCATATAGAAAGGCCAGTCGGCAAGTGTCACTTTGCCAAAGTGCCACTTATCAAAGGGACACTTTGGGAAACGTTGGTGCAGGTGTGTAAGAGTGGCTATATGAATCCATTGTGGGGTCGCCCTTTCCAATAAGTGTCACGTAACAGCAATGGGACCAGGGACTCTATATGAACTGGACCCAGGGTGCTCGCCAAGAAGACCAATGTCTCCATCCTATGATCCTTCCGTCTCTGAAATGGTCTTGTCAGACCGAAAGGGCATAACCGAACAAAACAAACCAAATGGTTTAGCTGGCTGCGTGGTGTAGTGGTTAGCGCACTAACCTCGCGTTCGAATGACAATGGGTTCGATTCCCAACGCCGGCTGATGCTTTTGGCGTGTTGTCCCAGTAAACATGCCGACGTCGGCGAATGGGGGGCTCGAATCCCGCCGCCGGTTGAAATTTTTGGCGCGTTGTCCCAATAAACATGCCGACGTCGGCCCCGTCGGTCCAACGACAAACGATCTCGTCAACCTCGGCAAACGATCTCGGCCCGACGTCGGCTCGAAGTCGGCTGGACTTCGGCTGGACGTCGGAACATGCGGGCATATCCGACGTGCAGCCGATGTCGGGCCGAGGTTGAACCGACGTTGGGCCGACGTCGGGCCGAGCCTCGGCCCGACGTCGGGCCGACGTCGTCATGTTTACTGGGTATTTTGTACCTACATAAATGCCAAATCGCAAGCGAGCGGAGACGGAAGGGCTAACCATTCGCTTGCGGGTAGTTAGGTTAGGACTGATGAGCGCTCATAATAAGCCACCCCTCTGATTTTTTTTTCAAGCGCAACAGTTTCCAGCGCATAAAATGGTTAACGCCGAGGTCATACACATTGACCACATTGACCAATGCACGGTAAGTATGACACCCAAAGGCCAGTCATCAGAGATCTGCTTTGGGCATTCGGAAGCTTGTGTGGGGCCAGTGTAAAAACTGGATGTTCACAGTTCAGTATCCGCTTTATTTCAGTTTTCACTATTAAAAAAGTAAAAATTAATGATGGAAACTTTTGAGGGTTAGGGCACTGATCATTAGTGGGCCCCCCTCTGTCTAAAGGCTGGCTATAGAATAAAGAGCATCAAACACGAACAGTAGCGGCGGAACACCTTCAATTAAGGGGGGGGGGGGCACTGCCGACTTGTGGTCCCATTCTTTCCATGCAACGCCCATAGGGGCAGGGCTAATGTTAAAATGCCAAAATCAAAGGGGGCACGGTGCCCCGGTGCCCTCCCCGTTCCGCCGCCTATGAACACGAAAGCAAAATCTAAGGCATTTTGGAAAAATGAGTATGCCCCGCAGCGTCCGATAACTACCACCTTCCAGTGGGTCAAGCCAACGGGGCCTAAGTCTATAATGGCACTTAACGATAGACCTAACCTTGTCTCATTTTTCGTTGAAGTCTGTTCCGAATGGTTTCGGCCACAGACTGGCTGCACTGAGGTCGTTTGGTATGTGCCACCTGAGGCGCCCTGACACCAGGCTGAAGCTGGGTTGGAAATGCTTCGTCTTTGCAGATATCACTGGCCACTGATTCTCGAGTGCCTGAACCGGTAGATGTGGCAAAATTTGGTGTGATAAATTGGACCTCACCGCAGTCAGCACACCCTTAAGCCCTAATAAAGAAATGCCCCATCCAGAGCTTCTGGATTCTCGTTCCAGTCCACCGTTCCTTCACCTCAGCCCGCCGCCGCGGTCCCTCACCCTCCGTTCCCAGCTTGACGAGCGTTTGGGCCTTAGTTAAGCCTTGCTGTAGGCTTACTGTATAAACCTATCGAGACAGCCCGTCTTGGTGAGCTTATTTGGCGAACTACTGCCTTGGGGAGGGTTTCTGGGGGATCGCTGTCCCAATAGGTTTAGATGCGACCGACTGTCTCTGAACGTTTGAGCGGTCTCCTCTCGCTGTGACCTAGTTTCAGTTGATATCTGTCTCAGAAATACTTTTTAAAGGAAGGTTAAACGGAAATCGAACGTAAAATGAACAGAGGAAATGGTACCGAGTTACCTCATTGAAGAATAGCACTCGCCTACTTCAAAAGGTTTGGCACCGTTCTTCAACATCTGATATGCGATCGGGTTATGGCACAATTTTTCTCATTGGAGTTTTTTTTCTAATACAGCAATACGAAAAGCGTTACATCGTCCACTGGCGGATTCAGGGAGCGGGCATTTAAAGCAAATATTTACTCCCCCTCCCCCTGGCCCCTGTATCGCCCGAAATAGACAAAACGTACCTTATGTTTCCTAATAAAATAACACTTTTATCATGATTTTTTTTTTTGCTTTAGCAGTAGGTCCGTAAGGAATCAAAATCCGAGGAGTTTTTGGATTTTGGACACTTTTTTGGGGGGGGGGGGGATGTATGTCCCCTACAGCGTCGAAAACGCCTTTCTGGATCCGCCTATGACATCATCTCGACTTGGATCTTGCCCCCCCCCCCCACGCCAAAATCGAATCCGCCGCCACTGTGTGACAGAACCAGTCAAGCAAACACTGCAGAGCAGTTTCGATCCGACTGACCAGGACAGGTAGGTCGCGTCTTTTTCCACTAGTCCATATATATGTGTACCATCAGCAAACTGAACTATGCGCACTGTCCACTGACACTGAGTCTGGAACGTGCAGGCACAGGTCATTGGCAAATATGCACCAGAGAACGCAACTCATCGATCCGCCCTGGTAAACGCCAACCGAGTTCTCCCTGATAGACGATCGAGATACGGATCCAAGAGCACTATTTGTAAGTTGTACTTGTTGGGTATGTCCTTCAAGATAATGTTTGATCCAAAACACCCTACTCACACCCTGCAGATGAGACCACTGGCTGCTGCAGTCCTCTCAATGTTTCCCCGAACTGAGACCGATCGGCCGTGCGGCGGGCGATGGAAACTCCGACAGCCGGTTCCAGGCGCCGGCGGCCCCTGGCAATGTTACAGGGACACACTGTTTATACACTGTCCGGCGGCTGCAGGCGCTGCCCGTGAATTCCACCGCCAGTGCGCCGCCGGCGGTCACCGCGCAGCACCGCTCTCCCAGCGCTCCGCTCTGCGCACCTTCAGCGCTCCGCTCTGCGCACCTCCAGCGCTCCGCTCTGCGCACCTCCAGCGCTCCGCTCCGCTCACCTTCAGCGCTCCGCTCTGCGCACCTTCAGCGCTCCGCTCTGCGCAGTGCGCACCTTCAGCGCTCCGCTCTGCGGACCTCCAGCCGCAGAGGATCCCCACCGAGAGGACAGGTTGCCATGGGAACCGACCGCTGCTGCTGCGGACGCCTGAGCAACACGCAGGGAACACTCGCCATCGCCATAGCCTCTGCGGTAAGGTGGCGCCTGTCCGGACCGGATATGGATGAAAGCATTATGGGGGATGAACTGTATTCTGAATTGCGACCATCACAGTCTCGCATGGAACGCGTTTCTACGCCGATAAGTCGCGCCTCAGGCCATTGCTAAAAAGCTCGTCAAAGCTAATTGCAAAAGTACTTTTATCCTGTTAGAGCATATCGAGGCAGCCAGGCAAGGTTACAGATCACCAGGAGTGAGATATGCTCGATTTGTATAAATACCTACATTACACGGCCCAAAATATGTCTTAGTATATGCGAGATGTCATGCTGTTTGCCGTAGCATAGCGACATTGTTTCATGAAAGACTCAATACAAATATAACGGGAGTGATGTATCTTAATTTCATTTGATGGTGCAAATATTTTTTTGTTCCATGTCCCAATCCCGGGTCGAATTTTTATCTCCTATGGATAAAAAGTGCAGAGATATGTCGCTCACTTAGTGAGCTACAGCGAAGTATAGCGACATTTTTATGCAAGCTGCCCATTTTGTTTTCATATACGGTGCTAGTTGTCACAAAAATCCGTGCTTGTACTGACCAATATTTTTTCTTCCATGACCTGGTTCCAGGTCCAATTTTTATCTGCCATGGCACAGACTTCTCTATATATGGACTGTGCGCTGATTTGGGAAATCAGCATTGGAGGCCCAAATTTCTGAAGCCGTAATATGAACCCATATGTTGTAACACAATACCCTTCTATTGTTTCCTGTCGACAGGCTGAATTTTATGTAATATATTTTGTTTTTGTACTATCTATTGCTCGTAGCTCAGAATAAGAAAGGCTTCTGGTCGATATGAATCTGTATTGGAACATCGTTTCACGTTCATCGACACCCATTGATGTCCTCATGTCAAGTTCATCTCACATTGCACCAGTGGGCTTGAAAATGGCGTTAGTCCATTTTCACCGCGGGATCCAGCGAGAAAGGGTGGCTATCATCCCTTTCTTCTTCCCCCGTGTGCTGGATTGTTCACATCTCTGACATGGCTGGCTACAAACTCGCGCGACAGTGCACCGACCGCGCTGGTGGTAAAGGTTGGCGGTAATGCTGATGGGGGTCTCTCGTCGTCGGCAACGGTAGGCGGGAGTCGATCCCCGTCAGCTGGTGGAACCAGCCGGCTGGCCAGGCCCCGACGACGGTGCGAGCCCTCGCCACTCTGGCGGCGGCCCAGTGGGCCTTCTGGACGTCTATAAGGATTTGTTTTTAGTCGAGTATGTTTGCCTTCTTGGCGATGGTGTCGGCCCTCTCGTTGCCCTCCAACCTGCATTGTGAGGGCACCCACTGTATAAGGTAGACCAGCAGGCCTCCAGCTGTCAGTCCCCAGAGGGCTCTCCAGATGTCCGCTCCGAGCGAGGAGTGCTGGGCGGCCCAGCCACCTCGGATGGTGGCGAGGGCGGACTGCGAGTCGGTGCAGGCTACGATGGTGTCTTCGGCGTGCGGTGGGTTCTCCAGCAGCTAGGAGAGAGCAGCTCGGAGGGCGACCATCTCAGCTCGGAAGCTGGAGCACAGGTAACCTGCCGGGGCGCGGATCGAGTGCTCTTCCCCTTTCGGCCAAACGATTAGTGCCCCCGGCGCCTCCGTCATATTCTGTAGCTCGTTAGTTACAGTATGCTCTTCGCCCTTGGCACATTTCTTGGTTTCTCCATCAAAAATGTCCACAGCTGGCCTAGAAATGGTGACCTGCCAGTTTCCTGAGATATCCAAAGTAGAAGTTCCTGTAATAACAGGCCACCACCGGCACAGATGTTTGTCCCAGCTACTTATACTCCCATCAGTCCTATGCATCTTGTTTCTGCTCCACCGCTATTTTTCCGTCCGTTCTTCGCAGACTGGCGTATTCTTGAGCTTCCCGATCCCGATCCAAGTTTTGCGGTAACATTTAAGAGCGGCAACCTTCATCGTTTAACATTAGCCGCGTTTACATAGGGCTAGTTGCCAGATAGTGGAATTTCCACTAACAGAGGGTTCCCGAGAAATACGCCATGGCCAATATCCTGGACGCAATTCGGTGTGCAGACGAAAATATGCATGTGAGTGCTAGAAATTCGTAAATTACATGATTTCATTGACTTTTTTTGTTAAAAACACGTGATGACAAGCTCAGCAAGTCTATTCATGGTGGTTTACGTGGCAAATTGGCTTTCCTTCGTGGAATAATGCCATTTTCATTAGCTCTACTTTGATTAGCGTATGACTGGTGTTCGTGTAAAATAAGCAATTTTCCCTATTTCCTTCATCAATTTGGTAGCTGAAACAGCTACCAATTTACTTCCACTATGACAGTTTCCAGTAACATATGCTACTGATTGGCTAATATTAGCCAATCAGATCTCTGGAGATCCCCGTAGTGCGTTACAACTATGACGCGGCAAAGACATATTTGGACATATCATTTCTGTATTGATATGCCTATCTACATACATTGCATTGGCCTTGCGTGGATGTCATAAAGAGAAATATTTTGGTCTAAGGTCAGTGAGACGCTAGTTGCTACTCTTCTATACGCTATGCCCTTTTTCAATATGATTACGGTGTCGTGTTCTGACTGCAGACTCCTGGTAAGTTTGTGCAGGTCTCACGGAAGGGGCGAGGGCGCTCTTTCGCTTTTCGATCCAGCAGGCAACAACAATGATTTTTTGTAAGGGAGTATCAATGGAAGTCACAAATTTATTTAAAAGTTGGTAAAGTTGTTTTGGTTTAAAAGCTGGTGCATTTGCCTTGTCAAGGGTATGGAACCTCAATATATTGCTAAGTCTCATATTTCCAGGATGTTGATAGGTATGTTTGGAAAAAGATGTTTTGATAATGTCGAGAAATGTAGCAAGGACTTTTCTATCTTCAAATCAGTTGCTCGCTACAGTTTCATGATTTTAAGGTGTGCATGAAATTATGAGAAAAGGTAAAAAAAATATGAACAAAAATTTCGTTAATTCATGATGCATGATAGAGCAAATAATTTTCTTTCGTTGATTAAAGCAAGGCTTGCGACTGAACCATAATGTGCATTGACTGCTGCGCAGTGTCCCAAAATTTGTAGATGTGGGTGGGAAACGACATCCAAATGCAAATCATTTTCCACTCTCACCTCCAGTTTTCAAGCCCAATTTTCCACTCCCAATTCCACCGAGAAGGAGCAATTGCGGGAATGGTTGTTTTACATGTGCTTTGACACAGTTGCAAAATAGGTACCTTCATACGTATATCATAGAAGTAATTACTGGTTATTATTATTGCAGATTTTTTTTTGCAGCATTCTCGTCAAGTAAAATACATTATCTTCTTTATAAGGACCATAGTGTGAGGTGTAAATACAGTCTGTAAGGTTGTCCAGACTAATTGTGCCCCTATTTGTACAGCCTCGGCTGGAGCCGCAGCAGGCGCGCTACGGGGTTCCGGCGCCGACGAGCAGCCGAGCGCAGCAGGCCCGCCACCGGACTCCAGCGCCGACGAGCCACCGGCCGCAGCGGGCGGGCTCCAGGGTTCCAGCATCGATGAGCCGCCGGCCGCAGCAGGCGCGCCACCGGGGTCCGGCGCCGACGAGTAGTCGAGCGTAGCAGGTGCGCCACCGGACTCCAGCGCCGACGAGCCGCCGGCCGCAGCGGGCGCGCCACGGGGGGCCGGTGCCGATGAGCGGCCGAGCGCAGCAGGCGGGCCCCGAGGTTCCAGCGCCGAGCCGCCGGCCGCGGCAGGCGCGCCCCGAGGCTCCAGCGCCGATGAGCCGCCGGCCGCAGCAGGCGCGCTACGGGGGTCCGGCGCCGACGAGCAGTCGAGCGTAGCAGGCGCGCCACTGGACTCAAGCGCCGACGAGCCGCCGGCCGCAGCGGGCGCGCCACGGGGATCCGGTGCCGACGAGTAGTCGAGCGTAGCAGGTGCGCCACTGGACTCCAACGCCGACGAGCCGCCGGCCGCTGCGGGTGGACTCCAGGGTTCCAGCATCGATGAGCCGCCGGCCGCAGCAGGCGCGCCACGGGGGTACGGCGCCGACGAGCAGCCGAGCGCAGCAGGCGCGCTTCTGGACTCCAGCGCCGACGAGCCGCCGGCCGCAGCGGGCGGACTCCAGGGTTCCAGCATCGATGAGCCGCCAGCCGCAGCAGGCGCGCCACCGGGGTCCGGCGCCGACGAGCGGCCGAGCGCAGCAGGCGCGCTACTGGACTCCAGCGCCGATGAGCCGCCGGCCGCAGCAGGCGCGCCACGGGGGTCGGTGCCGACGAGCAGCCGAGCGCAGCAGGCGGGCCCCGAGGCTCCAGCGCCGTTGAGCCGCCGGCCGCAGCAGGCGCGCTACGGGGGTCCGGCGCCGACGAGCAGTCGAGCGTAGCAGGCGCGCCACTGGACTCAAGCGCCGACGAGCCGCCGGCCGCAGCGGGCGGACTCCAGGGTTCCAGCATCGATGAGCCGCCAGCCGCAGCAGGCGCGCCACCGGGGTCCGGCGCCGACGAGCGGCCGAGCGCAGCAGGCGCGCTACTGGACTCCAGCGCCGATGAGCCGCCGGCCGCAGCAGGCGCGCCACGGGGGTCGGTGCCGACGAGCAGCCGAGCGCAGCAGGCGGGCCCCGAGGTTCCAGCGCCGAGCCGCCGGCCGCGGCAGGCGCGCCCCGAGGCTCCAGCGCCGTTGAGCCGCCGGCCGCAGCAGGCGCGCTACGGGGGTCCGGCGCCGACGAGCAGTCGAGCGTAGCAGGCGCGCCACTGGACTCAAGCGCCGACGAGCCGCCGGCCGCAGCGGGCGGACTCCAGGGTTCCAGCATCGATGAGCCGCCAGCCGCAGCGGGCGGGCTCCAGGGTTCCAGCATCGATGAGCCGCCAGCCGCAGCAGGCGCGCCACCGGGGTCCGGCGCCGACGAGCAGCCGAGCGCAGCAGGCGCGCTTCTGGACTCCAGCGCGGACGAGCCGCCGGCCGCAGCGGGCGCGCCACGGGGATCCGGTGCCGACGAGTAGTCGAGAGTAGCAGGTGCGCCACTGGACTCCAACG